AATTTGATGTGCAAAATGTGCTGGAAATGCTGCGGAGTAAAAGGGTTGTGTTTGTTGGAGATTCCATGAGTAGAACACAATGGGAATCTTTGATATGCTTACTTATGAGTGGGGTTGAGGATAAAAGGAGTGTTTATGAGATGAATGGGAATACGATTACGAAGCGGATTAAATACTTAGGCGTTCGGTTTAGTTCCTTTAACTTCACGGTTGAGTTCTTTCGCTCGGTTTTCCTTGTGCAAGAAGGTCCGATGCCAAAACATTCACCTAAGAGGGTGAAGTCTGCCCTTAAACTTGATGTGCTGGATAGTATTAGCAGCCAGTGGATTGATTCAGATGTTCTTGTATTCAACACCGGACATTGGTGGGTTCCTGGGAAGTTGTTTGAAATGTAAGTGCCCTTCTTCATTTTGTGATGTTTATTTGAAACTTGGTTACCCAGATTATGTTACACTTCTGATCTGTTTTTCTAACCTGATATTACGCTGTGAATTGATTACTTTAGCTCATACACATACATTGTGAGATCCCAAATCGGTTGGGGAGGAGAACGAAACACCCTTTATAAATGTGTGGAAACCTCTCCCTAGTAGACGCGTTTTAAAAACTTTGAGGGGAAGCCCGAAAAGAAAAGCTTAAAGAGGACAATATCTACTATTGGTAGGCAGTTAGATTCAAAGGGTAGAAAATATTTATAATTGCATTGAAGGAAGCGATAGTCGACTTTTCTAGCAAAGTAAGGACGAGCAACTCTTCTAGTGTATAGATATGAACCTTAATTATTCATTTCACGTGTAGCTCGTGTCCTCATGCATATATGAGACGAAAATTTGATATCTAAGTTTCAGCTGTGGAAGATTTGCTCAGTAATTGGCTTGACTATTTGAGATTTAGGTCTGCAACACAATGTTCGTTTATATGAAATGGGTTCAATAGTGATAATCAAACTAGAGCTTGGAGGTGTTTAAAACATGTATTCCAGATAGAAGTTAGCGGTTTCAATGGACGGGAGGTGATAATTTGAACCTCTGTCCTTTGGATCGAAGTCACAATGTCTTAACCGTTTGAGCTATGCTATGTTTAGAACCTCTTGAAGGCTTCTAAATGTTGGTTGGACAGTGGTTGCTATTTTCAGGTTGGAAATTCTCTAAAGCTTGGAATGTCAATTCCCACAGCTTTTGAAGTAGCACTTCGCACCTGGGCGTCCTGGATCGAGGAAAACATCGACACAAACAGAACCCATGTTTTCTTTCGTACTTTCGAGCCATCGCATTGGAAGTATGTCATTTTCTTAAATTCCCTTGTTTGTAGTTTAAGAACTGGAAATCATTTTTTCTCAATACATTCAACACGAGTTCTTGAAACGAATTTAGCCATGTGCCTTAGGTGCTGATATCGTTTTTGATGCATCAGGGACCATACCTTCAAATATTGCAGTGTTACAGACGAACCCGTGAATGAAACGAGAGGAAGAGAGAAAAGCATATTTTCTGATACCATATTAGAGGTAGCAAAGAATATGAAAGCTCCCATTAATGTTTTGCGCATAACTTTGATGTCTGCGTTTCGAAGCGATGCACATGTCGGTAAATGGAGCGACAATCCATCAGTCCCAGATTGCAGTCATTGGTGCCTTCCTGGGGTGCCTGATGTGTGGAATCAAATTTTGGTGTCCTACCTGCTTACTGAATATGACAGCGTAGTTCAAAGAACGGTATAATATTGAGTCTTGAGCGTTGCATATTTTCTAAAATTTTTTGAGCATCGAAACATGTTCTTCTGTTCTTGCCATTTATTTTTCATCCATTCTTTTGTTGTATTATTACTGATTTTTTTAAAGGGATGAACACAGTGGGGATTTATAGCAAGAAATAATTTTACTTCATTGTCTTCTCTACTTTGTTCAGAGTATTAATTGTTGAATAGATACATGATCGTAATGAGGACTTAGAACAGCTTAAAATGTATATCAATAACTCTTCATCAATGAGCCTTTGTTGATCTTGATCGACTGTGATTGAGAATTTTCAATTAGATGTGACCTGTACTGCTAAACTCAGCAGGTTGTGATGTTGTGTAGAGATATCACTTGGTGGCGTCTGCGTTGAATCAAACAAGAAATCTTTAACATCGTGTGTACCATATACAACAAAGAGCCCTTGTAGCCTCCAGGTGATGTAGTCGTTACACTCGAACGTTATTGGACAACTCGAGTTATGACTGGTTGCTGCAGAATTTGTTGAAGGGTGCTATGACTGTCACGATTATACATTTTTAATTGTACGGTGTTGTGATCTCGACATGCTTATGACTAGACTTGGGGAACCCAAGCCCCATATACATTTTTTGGTAGCTTTGTGGCTTTGTTGGATTTTAGACGAGGTTTGTCTTTGCCCACTGAACATAACTTGTGCGGAATTCAAGTTTGTTCGACTTCACACGTCGCTTGTGTGTGTATGTTCAACCATCTGTGATACAATTGACTTGCCTCTACATTAGATCAAGTCATTTGGCTCGACCTTGTCTCTACTGGGGCTAATGTCTCTCAATGCAACGTCACATCTCAAATCATCTTGGTTTCCAATTAACATGATCCACATGTCTTGATGTCATCTTGAGTAACAGGATGTCATCGACCATTGCAGCTCGGTTGGTCATGCCATCGAGAACGGGTCAACGTGTAGTTTATAATATTGGACATCCTGAAGATCCATCCATCTGGGTTCTATCGAGGTATTGGACTCTCTCTTGTCCATGTCATGTCATTTACGGACTCCGTACCGGATAGGGAGTGATCTAACCTCCGACACATGGGCTGGGCCACAATACCAAAACACTCGTGCCAGATTTTTCAAGGAAGTCACCCGAGATACTTGTCTCACAACTCTCGCCCTCATTGTGTCTCACATATGTGCCACATGGTAACTTGCTTAGACCACAGAGTTCGGGGGTGGTGAAGAGTTGACACCATGCCTTTCTCTATAGTAAAATTTCAATTTCGGGGGTATAGACATGAATTTAGCGAGATGGTGTTGTGGAGCGTTCATCCGATGTCAAATTGACACCAAATTTGGAGAGCATTCATACTTCATATGGATGGACTTGACTCCAAAACCGTATGCCCAAATTCACATCGGAACTCTGACTTCTGAGATTAAGGCCCGGGGCCGTACCCAACGCTTTAACAAGCCTATCTTTGGCACTCTGTCTACTCATTGCCCCTATCTAGCTTATGCCTTGTCTTCTCTTTAATGCACACGTTATATGGCGTGTTGGATGATGCATCGTTCTCTTCGGTCGCACCATGACACTATTCTATCTTGACCCTTGTGTGGTCAGATGGGTGCTACTTGAGGGTCACCGCTATTCTTGTCTCAACGTGAGAATCACAACCTACTCTCTAGTCTGGAAGGGGTTTGTATTCTTTTGGTGCAAGTTGTTTAGCAGTTTAAAGAGAGGCTTGTGTTAAATGTTTGAACTCCATCAATGGTTATCCAGCTGCAGCCAGGGAGCTTGGTGGAACCAAGGTTTCTCATTTTTGCTGTGCTCAGTGAAGCACTATCACCACCAAATTGACTTCTATAACCATCATCATCTAGCTTACTTGTCATCATGAAGATGTCTTTACTCTAAATTTGGGATTAATTTCATTTCGGTTTAGAATTTAAAAAAAAAAAAAAAAACTCAAAAGTAATAATAAAAAAATATTTATTTATACGTGGAGTTACAGTCACGTAATATGAAGCATATAAGAGAACAGGTCAAACGCCACTAGAACCTAAAATTTGACATGAGGGACACGTGGCGCGCAACCCATTGGAGAGATAAATATTATTCTTTTTAATAATGGAAGAATCTGCATGAAATCTTGTGTGTTCAATAATACCCCTTAAAAGGGGAGAAACAGCATTAAATGCGGGCATCTTTCTTTCTTCCTAAGGGATGATGCCACGTGTCGATGCAATTCAAATTTGATTTATTCCTGACCATCCAGATCCAATATAAATGAACCCAATCTGGATGTGCCACGTCTAATCTAAACAATTATTTATTTATTAAATTCTTCCTAATTTGTTCATTTTATATTGTGGGGTTCATATCACCAATATCAAAAATAATGCATTAACATGTGCTATAATATAATCTAATCTAATCAGAATACATTATGCCGCCTTATTCCTAACCCTCCGATCTTTCCTAATCCACTTATTTTTATCCCGATTATATTATATACCATTCTCGAGTCCTACTTTAGTTGAAGTTCCTCTAAGACTAATTGGCTCCACAAATTTAAAAGTTCGAACGTATTTTGTTCAGGATAGATATGGCATTATCCACTTTAGTCATAAGCGTACCAACACTTTACTTTTGGCTCTACCCAAAATGTCACATACAAATAAAACTAGTTATTTAATACTCACATATCTATGATCTCTTCCTGAGATCATTTGTTTGCACTCCTAACATTTTAGATAATATCCGCAAGGGAATAAGAAACGTATTCTTTGTTCCAAGGAAAAGCTCTGTTAAGCATATTTAGAACTAAATTATAATATACCATATATATCGTATGTGATATTTTATTATAAGCAAATATCTACGTGAGTATCTTTTCATTGATTGGTATTTCCTTTTATTACTCAATTTATTTGATTACAAAATTTTTACACCATATATGGTTTCAGCCAACATTATCAAGCTTCACTAATGTTACACGTTTTTATATGTTTCTAAAACCATAATTAGATCATTCAAAGCATTAGGTAAAAAAATTAAATTGCGGTAAATATTTTTTTTTTTTGAGATTAGTATAAGGACTATTCAATTAGATGATTTTAACACGTATGACACTAACCCGCATCTAAAAATAACTTTACTCTCGACTAATTTATTTGTTTCGTATTCAATTCGACTATAGAAGGGCGATTCGTTGTTCAAATAAGTTTTACTCGGGATAGTTTTGAAATCGGAGAAAATTGGGTAAATATATATATATATATATATATATATTGAGAAGAAGTAATGAGATTAAAGGTGGATGAGGATGGTTGAAACTCAAAACTCCATCCTTGAGACCTTAAAAGTATACATATCATATGTTTATTTACAAAAACTATGATTTTTTTTATAAAAAAGTGACCTAAAAAGGGGCCGAAACAATGTCTGGAAGCCGATAAAAAGATGGTAACTCATCAACTTCCTCTTCATGGCAGCAATTTTGCATGCTTGAATCTCTATCTTCAATCGGTTTACACTCCACTGCTTCTAATCCCTGCATGCATTTCCCACATCGTTAAACTTACATCTTAAAGCATTCTCTTTTATACTTGATCAATTAATTAATTACCTCTGTGAAAATCCTCATTGCTTCTTCTATGCTGCTTGTGTTTATCACATACAGAGCTGCTTCCTGAAATTCATGGCAAAATTGAATCAGAAGAATGAATGATTTATAAAGGTAGAGAAAAAAGAAAGAAAGCATGCTTAAGTGTTCTTCTTACTCTTGCAAATTGGATTTGGTGCATTTTGAGAGTTCTTGGCTCGTTCTCAATGGATGACTTTCTGTCGATTCTTTCCATTATTGCCTTTCGATCTTCTTTCACCAATACAGATTGAGCTCTCCAAAATGGGTTCTGGCTGTTTATGGCAAGGGGACGACAATGAATGAAGTGCCCTTCCTTTCCAATTTCATGGATTTATATATAGATATTTATTTGATTGAAGATTAGGACGTTGACAACTTGGCATCTGCCACTGGTCCATCACTCACCCACGTGTCTACTACCAACCATTTTGATTCGGGGACACGTGGGCGCTGACGGATGGATTGACGATGACGTGCCTTTCCTTCCCTCTATAACTGGCCAACACACGCCTGCCCACGTTGGCACACTCTCCTGGTTAATCCCCCTTGTGGGGAATCGCGTCTTCGCTGGACACGTGTATGGTGGGTTTTATTTATTGGAGAAGGTGCTTTGGACTTCATGCACCTGATGTGTCGTAGATTGAATGTGTATTTCCACATTGAATCTTAATAACAAAAGTCTTTCGGGATAAGATTTTCAAGTATGGTAAAGGTGGGGTTGGGTTTCTTCTGGAATTCGTTTAACTTTTAAATTTTAAAATTCTAAAATTTAATTAATGGATGAATTAATTCCGTATTGTTAATGATAACAAAAGCGTGGACGATTAATTAATGTTAATAATATCTAAATCCCTAAGTGATTGATTAGGTAATTAGGTGGGTAGTTATGGTTGAAGACCTTGCATAATTTTTAATTATGCAATCCATTTCATGAATCATTTTAGCTAAGACGTTGTTGTAAGAGTACATGGAGAGAGTAAAGCCATTTTCATAAGAAAAAGATATTAACTGTATTTATTTCTCATAAAATAAAAAAGAACAAAACCAATGGCAACGTTTGAGCACTGCCTTCAACGTACAAGAATATGAGATCTAGGGGTGTTTGAAGAAGAGCTCAAATGGGAATATGGGTACAACTATACTATGATTTAATATAGAGAAAATTGCGGTGGGTTATTTTATGTAATACGTAAAATGGATCGTAACAGTATTGAGTGACACTAATATTATATTAGAAACTATAATATATAATAAGGGAGAGGCTGATAGAAGAGGAAAGCCACGCCAAAGCATCTCATTGAACATGAACTTGAGGTTGAGGTTGAGCTTGATAATCGTTGGGACGTGGCGTTCCACTTATGAAGACTAAGATAGCAATGAGGTTGATTTGGGTTTCACTTGTTCTTCTTGCCACCGGACAGAATCCTTTGGATTTGGAGACCTCTGCTGAATGCTTGGTTGAAGAGGAGCCTGGTCTGGAACTCCGACACGAAAGGGAACCAGGCAAGCATGGCCACGGGTGCAAAAATGACAATGCCCATCAAGTACTCGTACCCTCTGGCTAGAGCTTTCACTGATCCCCACATTCCCACTGCCTTCATAGCAGGTCTGCATGCTTGTGTTATCTACAACCACCATAAAACAACACAACACTCCTAATAAAATTATACATATACCAAAGTGAGGGCTGCGTAGGGTTTTTAGGTGACATACTTGCAAAATGGCCCACCCGGTGGGCATGAAGGCTAGAATGCTTGCAAAAATGTCGCCAACCGTGAGATGGAGAAGCGTAAAGAGCATCGTTACTACCACAACTGATCCAATGAACAGGAACAACTTCAGAAGTCTGAACATTAGCTGGAAGTCTGCACTGAATTTCTTTCTACCCATGGACACAATCTGCAGTCCAAACGTTCATCAGTGAGTAATTATGGACATAAATAGGGTTTCTTTGATGCAGGAAAAGTCATTGGAGTTCAATCATTAACCTTAAGTATAACCATCACGGCAACAATGACAAGCCAGGACAATGCATACACCTGTGAAATTTATAAAAGAAAACAAAGAGGGGCCTCAACCATGGACAGTCGATAAATCTCCTGTTATATATTAAATCAGATAATGATAAAAGATAATAATAATTAGAGGCTTACGGTGATGCTTTTGTTATTTCCAGCCACATGCAGATGATACACTATTCCATACTGATAGAGAAAGAATCGGATAGATAGAACGATTTCCCAGAAGCGTCCAACGAAGCCAGTGTGCTGAAGGTGTTCTTGTTCCTCGTCCCACCAGGACTCCCAACTTTTATTTGCAGGCACACCAATACCACCTCTGCTGTTGATCCATTTTGACCAATCATCCCAATCATCCACTATCTTTTGCCATTCAAAACCTGAAGGGTTGAAAAGGAAAGGCGCAAATAACCAGGAAATAACCAGGAACCACATTGAGGATGTGACTAAAAGATAAGCTACAGTATCAGTTGCAGATGATCCGTATATCTGGTAAGCTATAAGCAATATCATAAGCTCTAGTCCTTTCACAAAGTGACTCCTTGAATACATCCTATAGTTCTCAGCGTATTTTTCATGCCGCACAACAAAACCACGACCTGTAGCTCTGTACTTTGCCCCACCATGGAGGACTGTGCGCCCATAGTAGTGGACCTTCGTGCCAAGAGAGAAGGTGAAGAAAACGGAAGCTAGTTGTAACTGCATGATTATTAAGTCACCTATTGCAGTTCTGAACCCTCTCTCTAGCCCAATTTCCATGATCATTGGCAAGGCAGTTAAAAGACCTAACTGGACAACTGATTGTGAAGCCATGGCAGCCTTTAAAGGATCATCTCCTTTTGACCTAGCATATTTTATTATGGACTTCTCCAATCCACTCAATGACAGATAAAGTCTTCCGTATAAGAAAGCATATACTGTAATCACAATCAACTGCATGACAAAAGGAACAAATAATCAAGGCACAGGAGAAACTTTCCAAGCTAATAAATGAAATAAAATATGCAGATTAGTTCAGAAGCCAAAGAAAAAACATTTGGAAATAAAAACTTACCATGGCACTGATGTAAAATCCTACTGTTGTGAAATAGAAAGACAGCATGCGGAAAAAGTCGAAACGATGACCCAGACGATAGATGTCTCTGCTGAGAATTTGCTCTCCATTACCACAAGCTACCTTTGCCTCAAAAAGAGAGATTTGATTAAGACCAACATCTCTTCCCTTCCCAACTTGAATATACTCATGGTGGGTTACATTTCCTCGTCTCAATGTTGAGTTGAAGCCTACGGAGGAAATATTTAAAATATATAATAAAAATCGAGAAGAAAAATTCCCTTGACTACTGGATGTGGAGTGTAAAGAATAATACCAGCAAAGATATCTTCACTGAGATTGATGCCTCGAGAAGCTTTGCTCATGCCCCCACGGGTAATATGGAAGATTCGATCAAAAACGTCTGGATGACCGTAGTGAAACCTCACCCTACAACCAGCCAATACATGTTATAGATGTGCAAACAAAATATGTTCACGTTTAGTTGGACTGACAACTGAGCAACAGACAAATTCATCATGTTCAATCTAGTATTTCTCCCTCTCAAATATTCACCATTGTCCAGAAAAAATATAAAAGATCAATCCTTCCATGTTAAGGTATTACAAGAAATTTTAAATTAAAAATTTGTTGATGCAACATATTCTAACTCTAGAAGTTTTGAATCCTTCAGTTCTGCTTTGTTTTTCCTACTTTCTAAGGGTGATTTAATTTATTTTGAAATATGTACATCCATCAACAACTCAGAATCTCGGGTACAGTTTTCCAGAGACCGCTTTGCTTTCAAATATGAATAATGTATTGTTGGGTAAGATATGTGAAATTAATCAAGTACGAGAAGAAAAGCATACTTTAACGGCCTTGCAAGAACCCTCTGACCAATTGTGACGAAGCTAGTTTCTTGATTTGACATAAACCAAGCCAGAGAAGAAACACTGCAGTGTGCGAACAATTGAAGTTAGACAGAAGACATACAGCTTTTCATAGTACTTGCTCAGAAATAAAGCTAACCTTCCAGTAAAGATATGTTCACGCATTCCCAAAATTGTAGGTGGACGAACACCATGGTCCTCATTGAACTCTTCTAAAAGGTTTCGCATTTTGAAAGCTTCTTCCAAGTAATTATCCTAGAAGGGATCCAGAAAGTTAACCATCATTATTAAGCATCTAAGCCATAACTAAAAAGCAAGTAGTAAAATATTGGTTTTGATGGTTCACCTGATTCATGTCAATTGCTTGAAGTGCTTCACCTCTGGTAAAAACTATAGCGTGGTTCTGATTTTCAGGTTTCCCTTCTCCTATCTTAGCTATACCAGGCAGCTTAATCCGATATATTTCCTGTTAATAAGAGCAAAGAAAACAAGATTACTCTAATGGTAACGTGAATTAACATTTTTATCCTTGAGTTTAACTAATGATTGCCTGGTCAAGATTGTCAACAGCTTTGACCAATACAGAATAGTAGACTTTCTGTGCTTTTCCACCTTCTCTCTCTTCAACTTCATCAATATAAGCCACCCGAAGAGAGGGATTACTGTGCCAAAAAAGACAGTGAAGGGGAAGGAAAAGTTTCTTTGATCAATTGCACCAAGCAAAACGAAGTTTGAAAATGACTAAAGAGGCTGGTGAACACACTTGACCATCAGATTCAGGATATCTGTCGCTCGACGATCCCCACTTCGTTTCTGATTTCCATAGTTCTGGCAAGTAGCAACGTATGTGAATTTCATATCAGCCACGGCCTCTAATTGAGCATACAAGGATCTCTGGCTTCTTTTATCCTCTTCTGACGGAACTGTGATCGCTTTGTAGCCTTCAAGTATCTCTATTATTAACAAAACAATCATTAAGGAAACCATGGTTAGTTAATACTCATTATAGAGAAGCACACGGACAGTGCTGATAAGAAAACAAGACATCTAAACCACTCAAAATGTCAACATGAACAGGCTTACCACTCTCAGAAGCCATGTCAAGAAACGCCTGAAGCTTTAGAGCCCTTCGATAATACATCATACCCCTAACTGCAATAAATGTGTTAATGCCAGCGATATAAGTGCACAAATCAACTCAATAGTAGCTGTAATGCATTTAAGCTACCTGTTCTGGATAGAGTTTGCCCTCGTAAGGAGGCCCAATGACGGAGGTGTAATATGTTTTCTTCATTTTCCCAAATTTCACTGTCTTTTTTACAATTGAGTCGCTCAATGAAGTTGTTCCATTCATCTAGCAAGAAGGCAAACGTTCATGAGACAAGTCACATAAATCACTTATCAAAGAACCAAGGGATATTTGGGCCGGTTCTAGTTCTATCACTCACCTGGAAAGATCTTCTGCAAGTAATATATGATGGAGACACCATCTTCATTTTCCATCTCAAGGTCGGTTTTGGAATAGACAGTCTCTTCACTATAGTATGGAGTCATGACGCTGTTCACAATCCAAACATATTCATCTTAGAGTCAGATTCAGAACAATCTTTTCACTATATTTTGTTGTCGTAATGCTGTTGACAACCCAAAAATATTTATCTTAGGGTTAGTTTTAGAACAGACAGTCTCTTTCACTATATTTCGGAGTCATAATGCTGCCAACAGGCCAAGAATATTATTAAGTACAAAAAAACTGAGGTAAACTTGTAACATTTAATGTTTAACGAAAGATGTTTCTTAAGAAAAACGAAAATTTAATTTTTATTAAAGGAGGTTGTATAAAATCTCTAATTTTTATATCAAAGATTAAAAGAAAAACAGTTCTTGCAGTGATTAGACACAAAACATGAATATATGTTCAATAATGCTGCCAGTACATTTATAACTTATTGTGAGTTTGTAACCTAGGATTTTGAATCTTAGATTCCTCAGCGACAAGCATACTGTATAGGATGATGCATCCAATTTCAAATTCAGAAAGAACTTCTCCAAATAGAATAGACATATACTTACTGCTCAAATATAGTTAAAGAACCAGACCTGAATGACAACATCTTACGGACTCGTGGAGCACGTGGCATATCCATAAACAATGAATTTGTGAAAAATGCAATCCTTCTTCGTGCTTCAAGATTTATAGGAACTTCGGTGGCAGATTCTTTCACAGTCAGTAGTAGATAGAGGCGTCTAATCTGACATACCCCGAAAAGACAAGATTGTTTTGTTTCAATCGATTAAAATCAAAGAATGATAGATAATTTCTCAAAATTAATATTATTTATTTTCAATATGCCCACCTGCTCTTCCCATTGAGCTGTAACTGTAGGAGGAAAGTTTATGGCAGGTCTAGTGTCAGTACCAGCAAAGAGTTGCCTTCCGGAGTCCTTGTTATGACCCAGTTCTACCATTTCACTGAAAGATTTAAGAAAGGAAAGGATCACCATTTTAGTATATAACAGTAGCCATTTAAGGATGCCAATGACATAATTAAATACACTTCAAATTACAGAAAATATATTTGCTAACCGGACTTCGTTGAGCATCATATCTCGAGTGACAACTTCTAACATATCTTGCAGCAAAAACACCACTGTATCTTGCTTGGATAAATCGCCATCTTTCTGAAACAGGAAATCAAGAGCAAAGTTTCCAATCTGAAATAATTGACCAGCAGATACTTTAGAGTTGCATCTTATCTTACCAAGATCTCCACGAGTTCCACAAATTTCTGGCACAGAATGAGTAAAGCACCCATTTTGAAGTTTGTGAGAAGTGTGTTCTTCGAAATATTGTTTTCAACTTCTTTAATTATGGTTCCAATAATCCTGTTAATGTCAAAGAGAATTAGAATTCACGTAAACAATTGACACAGATTCCCATTTCACCGATTAGTTACAGCATCTTGCAGAAATAGAGTAGCAGTTTACGCATTATCTCAACCCTGGATGATTGGTACTCAATAAAATATTTGCAAGTGATCCATAAACAACAATAGGTGAAAGTCGTTCCAATTAAGAAATATTTAATGTTTTCCTCCTTTACGGTGAAGGGCAATGAAGTAAATGATGATCTATTACTTGCAAAATCCCATGCTGAAATTTCTCCCTCATATTAAGTGCTAGGTTTTAAATCATATTGAACTTAAGGTTCGATTTTGCATGTCTTCTCTTTGCAGGAAACAGAAACTATGATCATTCAATAAGAAGAAACTGTAGCTTAAAACCTTTTCTCATTTTCTCCAACCACCAGAACATTCAGGACATTTTTGAAAGATTCATAACACTCGATCACTGCACATTTCATGTACTCATCTGCACAAATACGCTTCCAGAGGTCAGAGTCCCTGGATCGGAATTCAGCAGCCATGTCCAATGCTATTGGAATCTGCAGAGGTAAAGAAGTTGTTAATAGTCACTACTAATATGTCCAAAAATTGAAAAGGTAAGATATACATCAAGGAAAACATAAGGAACTATATCGACCTTGCTGGCTAGTAAAAAGGGAGGCCACTGGATTATTTTTAGGCTGGGATCTGATGAATAAGGAACTAGCAAGAGATCCATCTCCCTGTGATTCATTTGAAATTCAGTTAAGTTTTAACAATATGACTAAAAAAACGTTTGAAATGAAGAAGTAAAAGATAACTTAGTTTATGCAGTCTTTCCTGTCACTTATTAGATCTTCCTCTCGAAAACTACATATCACTTCATTCCACAACTGTGCAAACTTGGCAGCTTCACTTCTCCTGCTAGTGGTAATCTACACAGAAACAAAATAGTAATTACTAATACATAATGTTTGAACCACTGATTTTATACATCTTAGAGAAAATGAAAATTCCAAAAATAAAAGAGCAACCTCAGCAAAACGCTTTGACAAAGAGAAACCCCTTTTCCGAGACTTATCTGATGGCACCAAGTATGCGTTGAATGCACCTGGTAAGGACTGAAACCTAGACCTAAGCATACCTAGAGTTCGTATCTGTAATGAGAAGAACAACCAAATCAAACCAATGATACAGACCAATCAAGTACACATTTATGCTTAAATAAAATAAGTGACTTAGAGAAACATTGTTGAATATTCTTCTATCACCACGGGAAATACTTGCGCTTCAATTGAATGCAACAGTTAGCGCAGTGTAATAGTTTCAAACCAAAAGATGCAATTAACATAATTACTTTCATCATAATCTTCGGACAGATTAAAAAGTAGTCATTTCTAACCCAGTCTGAGACATTAGAAGATATCACATTATTATGCTTGCTAGGGTAATAGGAGGATGGAGAAAAATGCGAACGGATTACATTAAGGATGATGTGTCCCCTCATAAGATAAATAAAAAAAATATGGTTAAACAAGAAAAACATTACCTCTCCTAATCGATCACATGCTCCAATGAAACCACCACATATGGTCGAAAACATAGCATACCAAATTTGAGTGTCCATGAAATAAACCTGCAATTAAATAAAGAAGTACAAGAGGCTTTATCCAGGATAATACAAAAAGTTTTCCCTACATTTTACAGCAATGGAATAAAGCAAAAACAAAGAAGTGAATAGAAAACACACCAAAATTATTGGCATCCACAGTGATACAACTGCCCCATAGTTGTTCTTGGCTGTATTGAAAAGAAACCTTCAGCACAAGCAAAATTAATCAAAGCATTAAAAAGTGAACTGCTCATGCGGGAAACAAGCACCTTTAGGAAAAAATTCATGCCATTCATATTCCACTCGGCGAATACTCATTATATCTTTTGTTGGCTTCACCAATGGCTTTATCTGAAGGGATTAAATAGAAAAAGGTTAGAGAACCACACTGATTAAACCTCTATATATTTAACTACTGCAATTACTATCCCTTCCATTTTGAAAATGAATTACCTGAACAAAGTAGCTAAAAGAAAATTTGCAGCACAAAAGAGACACCCAAAAGATGGTATACCTGAAATAAGAGAATATGTCTAATCATGGAACGCATACCAACTAATCAAGAAAATAGAATTTGTAATTTCAAAAATAAAGAATTAGGAAAAAATGAGATCCATAGCAAACTCACTTTATAAGAGTAAATTGACTTTCATGCATTCCTCTTCCGATATATATTCTTGGCTGCAGAAAGAGTAAACACAGTTCTCAAATAAGAAGCTTATATGCATCCTGGACTCTTCTTAGATGAGAAAAACATATGGTTAAAAACACATGTAGACAGAAATCATGAGACATGTTTTTTCACCTTGATAAGGTCAAAATGGTTCTAAATTTTCATGATTGCATATTTGTAGAAACTCAAAGGAAAGGGAAAAGAGGATAAACATATTACAGACAAGCTGGTGTAAGCACACCATAAATGAGGATCACGATCCTTAGTAAGGCACCAAAGTCTTACGCCACGGCTAAATTCGTAATTATGAAGATAAAAAAAATATATTCGTAATCCGGATGAAAACAAGGTTTCAGCAGAATAATTAGGTTACAATTTTTTAGTACACTATTTTAAAGGGGTGCATGAGAATAGCAGTTAAGGTATATGCTTGCGTCAGTCGTAAGTGGTCAAAATGTATTTATTTGATGAAGCACATATGGACAAAGAAGGGAGGAAGAGAAACACAGAGAGAGAGAATTGAGCAGCATCTCTACCTGAGACCACCAAAGAAGAAATCTAATAATGTGCCAATCTGAGTTTTCAATCCAACGCCGAAGCATAGGAAATAAGAATAGAGCTGCTGCAAGTAAATTTGGTAGCAAATACAGAGCAACCGCCACTATATATAGAGGAGGAATGCCCCTCAACGAGTTAAGAAAGGACAGCACGTCTCTGAATTTATTAGAAACCATCTTGAAAGTATGAAGATAGCATAGGGGAAGAACAATAGCCCAAGCAAGACTGACGATAACTTTCAGAATATTTCTTAGCACATCAGTGAACTTCCACCGGTGAAATCCTGGGAAGTTCAAAGCTAAGTCCAAGATACCTGAGTTGAAAGATGTACGTCATTTCTGGTAAACATACAAACATATGGCTAAACTAAAAGAAATAGATTCATAATTCCTCCTCCCCCAACCATGTTGACGATTACAAGTCATGTAAACTTTCAAACATACAAGTAGCGAATAAAAATATAGTCATATCATGTAGGAAGATTGCTGCAAGCTTGGCTAGGGATTTAATCCCAAGAAAAAAAAACATGGAGCGATTATGGAAACATTATGTAAAAGTACAATTAATATAGAATTCTCAACAGCCTCTTTACAGGAGGGGAGGAAATCAAGAGGGATTTGTATCAAATTAATACCCGTAGCAAATATTAAATCAACAGAAATGTGGTGATTAGATCATTCAATAATTCTTAACATTACAAGCGATAGAAGAAATTGCATTGAATCGGAAAGAATCAGAATCTTAAGAGATTGGAATTTAACACCTTTTATGTTAATGCCATGTTCAATTTTTTTTTTTTTAAAAAAAAAAAAAAACCCTTGAAGCTTTATTGAAATCATTCAAATAATTTTACAAGTCGAACAAGATAGTATAATAATTGTTGTTGCTAATTGAATTAGTGTATTTGGAACATATATTAAGAATCGACTTGAATGAAGATACTGCTTACTTTGAAGAAGGCGAAGGATTGCAGCAGTGATGAAAATGCTTGATAAGGCGTACAAGACATCCTTTTGGAAAATCTCTAATGGTGTGACTCCTTTCCATGCAGCAATGACCATCGCCTGTAACAAACAAATTGAAGAGGGGTAGATTATATATAGAGTAAAGAACGACAAATCAGAAGTAATATGAAAACAGCCTAAAAGTTTGTATGTGTTGTAATTGCATACCTGAAGAGCTAGTATATAAAAGGTCCATAATCGATCAAAACTTCGGAATGTGTGCCAAAATGTTCGGGTTTCAACAAAATAAGATTTTCCTGTGCTTCCAGATTTTCTTTGTGGTCCCTTCCGTCCCTAGTACAACAGTTTACATCATTTTTTTAATGAGCTAAGCTACCAAAACAAAGGGATCCATTCAGAATAAAAAAGAACCTGCGCCAGATCACGCGTTGATTTGAAAAATTCTCCATCATCTCGCATAGGCCAACCAAGAGAAAAGCAATCAGGCGACCTACATATTGGAAAGTTCAAAAATTAATAAGCTCCCGGACAACTTTCAAAACCAGACACGATAAAGAACAATAGTTTCTGGAAGGTCAATTCTTTGTCATGCTAACCAGAAGTACTCGTTCAGATCATCATAGTTGCACCAGGCTGAGTGCGGAGCTTTTCCATTTTCGCTTTTTTTGGCCTCCTGGAAGATCAAAAGGAAAATTGTCATTCTTGAAATAAAATGATGTGTAGCTGAAGGATTTGGCTGAAATAAAATGATTTGTAGCTTAAGAATTTGGGTGATTACCTTTTCAATAACCCAGTAAAGGGGAGTTATAACCTTCCGCAAGAAAGCCTCGTCATCCCCACCATAAGAAGGCTTAATATTTTCACCAGTAACAATGCTGACATTTCCAGCCAACAAGCCATGAAGTTCATATGCCATCTAGTTATAAAGAATATAAAAGACTATAATGTTAAGAGAATATATGAGCAAATTTTCTGGCACAGTGTTCAAAAGGAGAAAAATGTCATATACTCGGCAAAAGATTAAAAACAAAAAAAAAAAACTCACATTATGAAATATATAGCACAAACATTCTGGCATGAAACGAACATTTGCTGCTTCACCCCAGATGAGAAGATATAGACCCATGTAAAGTATCTTCCTTTGCTGTATTTCTAGCTGACCTTGAGGGAGCCTAGACAAAATAAGACTTTAAATTTAGTTTTCTGATCTCCCCATCGCATAATAATTCAAAAATAAAATTGCAAAAGCTGGTATGGTTTTTTAGAATTTGCAAAAAGAAAATGATGTCTCACCTTAGACTATGTTTCCGTCCCAAAAATTTGCACCATGTTTTATAATTCTTAAACAGTTTGTTCATTACTGCATCAACAGCTCGTTCGTCAAGCTGCATTTATAGAGCCAAAGAATTTGCTCAGAACAGTGAGGGGAAAGAAAAGTAATCCCAGAATTGGATAAACAAGGAGATTCTCTATGCACCAGGAAGAAAAACATATAAATGACTCAAATATTCGGCCCAATATTGGCATAATGAACTCTGTTCAAATCAAAAAATATATTGGATATACATATCCGTAAAATGGCATAATTTGCAAGTAAGAGTACGTTTTATACCTTGTTGAGAGGTTCAGGCTTGGGGTGAAGTCTAATATGAGAATTAGCGAGCAGAAGGATCAAATGTTCACGCTGATTTCTAACATTATCTCTCTGTAGCCACCAAAATATGTTAGCAGCATATTGTTTATCTCTCAAAGCCAGTTGTTAGAATTGATTGCTTCTAAGCATGAAAATCATACCTGAAATCCAAACATTGCTCTTAACCAATCCAGTAGGTCCAGATCACCTGCTTTCTGCCTGCGCTGCTCAAACGTACTTGGCCAGTTCAGGCCACGAGTATTCCACAAGGCACCCACAGCAGCCTTAACCTAAAAGAAACGGAAGGGAACAAAATCAAGTTCGAATTTGATATGATAACACGGTGCCCTTTTATCAGTGGCAGGAGGCGTACCTCTTCGAGCTGCATTATAGACTGCGAAGCGCCAGCAGAATCAAGAGGTAGAATGTTATAGGGTGCATAAATTTCAGTCTTTTCTTGGACATCCCTAGCTGCAGCGATAATCTGCTCATTGGAGGATACTATTTTAGATATCTTCGTGCAGCCCAATCCAATTAAGTGAAACGATAAACGAACACCGTAACTAATGACAAACAAAGATCAATTAGACACTTGACACTAAATCGAACGAACCTCGGGAGCAACTTCTTCAACTTTCTCGGTCTTGTTAACGGCGCAAAGCACTTCGAAAAGCACACCGGCTGTCTGGTAAGCTTTACCGAGCTGGGCTCTGCCAAAAGTTAATAAGGAAAAAATTCTGGAGTTCAGACAGACGATATACGATACAAAATCGAAACAGAGTTGAATCCAACTTGGAAAATTTACACGAGTACCTGTCTGCTTGCTCCCCTTGGTCAAGAGCACTGACATAATGCTTGTAATACTGCTGATAGAAAGCCTCGATTTCCCTGGCATCTGTTTTTTTCACCCTAGACGCAAGACTGGATGCATTGTCCTGGACCGAAGAGAGATTTGAAATCAGTTTTCCTCCGTTAGTAATTGAAGTAGTTTCGACTCGACCGCAAGAATTCTTGGGGAGTTAATACGGTTTGAAACCTAAAGCTACACTGAGAACTCCATTGCAGAGAGAACATGCATCTCATCTGGCGGGAATAACTTCAGGATCTATGATACGTCCCATATCAAGAGTGCACGGGATCGTCCCACCGGACCTTGTACGGTTGGCGCCCGAATTTTTAACGGTTTAAATCCGCATGCATTTTATCATTTCAATTCACTCTCAGAAACACATTTTTAAAATTCTTCTATTCGATAACAGAATCGTCTAATACGATATTTCCAGTCCCCTCCAATCATCTCTCGTCCCTCCATAGGATGGTTCTGGTGACTGCTACTTAAGCTTTATCCATGATTAGCCTTGTAAAATCCTATTTTTCCCAAGGCATCGCTTCTAATCTAAGTTGGTTGTCGGTACACAATCACAGAGCTACAATCTGGTTTTCTTTTCTCGAAAATAAAATTGACATTGACATCCTATCAATCTTTAGATCAACTTACAACTCCAATCAAATCTAAATTTTTTCTCAAATAACAAAGGACATATATATATATATATTTCTATTGAACTAATTAATACATTAAAATATAATTTGTTAAATTAAGTTATAATTAAATGTATTCAATTAGTTATATTATAATTTAATTATCACATTGATTTAATTCATTTCAATATATTTTTACTGTAAAATTATTGATATTATATGTGTTATAAATTTTTATTTCAGTAAAAGGTGTACAATATAATTAGTTCAAGATGAAACATAGCATAATTTAAAAAAAAAAAAAAAAAAAAAAAAAAAAAAAAAAAAAAAAAAAAAAAAAAAAAAAAAAAAAAAAAAAAAAAAAAAAAAAAAAAAAAAAAAAAAAA